AGTTCATATCGTACTTCTGTGCCAATGAATAACCCTCTAGCATAGTTTTGAGAAATTGATTGTGGGGTTACTGTTAAAGCTGAAATTCCTTAACATGGGGGATGTCGGTTAGTTTTTTCAGCCTCATAAATAACATAAAGTTGTCAATATAATCTCTCTACGGAATGTTAGAATAGTGGAATAGAATAGTGAAGTTATATTTTATTCTTGAACTGTTAATGGCCTCCTAGTTTATATGGTCTTGGCGGCTTCATTGGGCCATTGGCAACAAATAATGCAAATGACATAGCAATGGGACATTTCTAAAAAGTAAAAATACTGTAAATTTGGCTGTTACGTATACCTATATTGACGTTTACATATTGTTAATCAACGTATTTTATAAAGGATTATGTCATCTAATTTAAAAGGAATATGACCTTTCTGTCATGACAGTAGCTGCTAAAATAATATTTTCTCTTTGTACCATATTTTACAGCCAAAATGTTGTGTTATTTTCAATAATGTTACCAACCCAGTGCGCCAAAGTCCGTAATATAGGCAGGTGCAAATAATTTGTCAAGATGGGTACCATTCTAGGCAAGGTTTCTATGTTTGGATTTTATTAGACACGATAAGAGCAGATATTTCTACATAAATATTTGATATGTCTAGAATAATATGATAAAATGTAGGCAAAAGTGGTGAAAAAGGCAGACACCAACCCATACAATAGATATAAGATAGTTCAATAAGAAATAATTTAAGAATTGCTGTGATAAAAGGATTTTTCACTGATTTCGTAATGGAACGTTATATTGCAAAACATGACATGATAAAGAAGAAAATCTATTTTAAAACCTGAAAATAACATTGCAAATACTTATTTGGTAGAATTCAGTAACGCCCAATAAATATGTGCTGTTTGAAATACAATTGAAAAATGAACAGCTGTTAAACAGTATTATTCACATAGCCAAAATGTAAACAACTCTGTGGAGGGAATTTTAAAGGCTTCTGGGGCAGAGTCCTAAGGGATTTTGCTTAGTTTTTCTTTTGATAACTCATCTACAGACCAAGACCTTTCTTTAGACACCTCTACCAAGTTTCTAGGCCCAGCTGTTCTCTCAAATTAGTGGGGACAAAGTTTCCAATTAAATATTTAGATTTCTCCATGTTAATCTTATGGGAGAAACTCCAACTTTGATGGCCTGTGGGGCAAAGCCTGACGATTTTTATTACAGGAATTGGTGAAAGGGGGCGTCTACACAAAAAATACTTTATTTTGACACGTCGTTTGTAAAAATACGTTTATTATTAACGGAGGAGTAGTGTTTTGTAGAAATCGCCTTCACGTATTATATATAAGGATTTAAAGGGAATTAAAGAATTCAGCCAGCTGTTTAAACTAAAAAAGTTGGTTCTATGATATGCAAAAGCATTAAAAAGTAATAAGATTTACCAACAGGGTGCAGCACTATTATTTTTTTGCATTTATGAAAATAACTAATAAGCAGCAACAAAAAACTGTGATACACAATGAGAACTGTCAAAGTAGGATTGTTTACAGTTATGTTAATGTTTATAATTTCATGAATAATCTGTGATTTTTTGCGAATTGTTTCTCTATTGTTTAGGTGAAGTGGTAGAACATTATGGCTACGGTAGATGTGTAATACTATAGTATACCGTAAATTTAAAGAAGGAAATTTTATCAAACTGTGTCCTCCCCCATTGCAAAAGCAAAGCTTGAGTTTGGTATATAACTACAATAAGCATTTTATACTTATATGCCAACCCCGTACGAAGGACGGGTACTCAGCTAGTATTTTATATGCACAACCTTTCGGTTAGACCCTAAGTGTATTTTTTTGACTTCTATAAAAGATTTTCTTTTTCATAACGCTTGATGAACGACTTATACACCTAATAACAACTTACTTAAATAGACAATCCTAACGAACTACTGTTGCTACTAAAGAACCATGGGCTAATATTTCTTACTTTACTGTTACACATGTTGAAATTTACAACATCTTGCATAATTACATTACATTGTGTAATTTGCGTATACGTTTTGCGTATAATTTGCGTATTTTCCCGGTAACCCGGGCAATGGAAGAAATTTCTATTGCCCGTGTTACCGGGAAACATTTTTTTAGCGAAGTCTTACTCAGTTAGTAAAACTGAAGTTGAATCAAGATAAATTTATTTTCTAAAATGGGTCTATTTTATCTTAACATACATACAAAATTTCATGAAGATCGGTTGCAAAAATCAAAGATAAAAAGTTGATGTAAAAGATACAAAATGGTGAATACCTTGTTAAGAAAGTGATTTTGGGAAAAATGTTTTTTCTGGATTTTCTCTTTATTTTGATCTAAAGGAATCAGTACGTAAATTATGTCCCCGGCCTTTTTGAACACCCTGTATATATGATTTGAACGAATTGTGTTTTTGGACTTAAAAAATTGGGACTTAAAAATTAAAAAGTAAATCGGTCCCGACCCTAGGTCTTACCGTGCTACCTACGGCGAAATTCGCTAAAATCCCGAAAGAAATTGTTATTTGACTCAATCCATATAAGCTAATCTCCACTTCCGATGCAGATAATGATACAATAGCAGAGGAATGCGCGAGACAAAGAACAAGGCCACGGCACGGTTGCCATAGAAACGACGAAACTATCCATTAGAATTGCGCGCCAACATCAACGGTCTAAGCACGCCAGACTATATAAACACGCCGCGTGTGTAGTGCTCAACGGAGCTGGTACTTTCAGTTGGCAATACTGGCTTCTAGCCTCGAGCGACGTGGTTCGACCACGAGAAGCGCATCAAACTCCTGGGTAATCCCGGTTAGCTCCTCCCACTCTGTCCCCTATCCCCACCTAAAAGACAAGCAAGTTGTAAGTCGGCCGGGTCGATTGCCGAGCTGTTTGTTTCTCGCATATAATAATTTAGTTTTACAGGCCGGTCAACTGGACTGACGACGAAATAACTTGTCGACGTACTGGTTTTCAGTATTTATCTATTTATTTAAAAAAGACGGTCTAGTGGCCAGACGACCAAGTATCTTGTCGGTCTACTGGTAGGCTCCCTGTGACATACTCAAAACATCTGTTCATGTTTATATTAATAACTAGCTGAACCCGGCAGACGTTGTCTTGCCTTTGACTATTTATAATCCCGCGGGCTTTGCCCCGTTTAACTTCTTAATTTTCAAGATGATCTCGTTCGCATGGCTCAATCACGTCCTGGTTGAAGTTCGTTCGCTACGCTCACTCACCTTTAGGTTGGAGCTCGTTCGCTATGCTAAATCGCCTCCAGGTTGAAGTACGTTCGCTACGCTCATTCACCTTTTGGCTGCAAATTAGCTGTTGTCATAAATGTAAAAGAAATAATAGTGCTGCACCCTGTTGGTAATCCTTGTAACTTTAATGCTATTGAACATCATAGAACAGAACCAACTTGTTTAATTGAAACAGCTGTTAAGATTCATTGATTCCATTTCTCATAAGGTTAACATGGGAAACTCCAGAGCCACCGGGGCGGAGCCGAATGGACGGATCACGAAATTGATGGTGTATAAACCTATTCCATGACATTCTACACGTATGTACCAAGTTTTGTGGCAATCGGTTCAGCGGTGTCTGAGTTTATCACTGCCAAACAAACAAATATATATACAAACTAGTGGCTTATAGGGGCAATAGCCCCTAGTAATATATTCTAAATATCAAAATTATATTCAAAAATATTCTAGTAATATTTTTGTACAAATTATTAGTCTCATAGGTTACCCTACCTTGATTTATCATTTAACATGTTTGTATATTATGATATGTATGATAGTTATTACATATCATAATGTAGGTTGATGTCTACTCTGTTTAAAATAAAAATTCCAAAGGACATGCGGTGTGTATAATATAAACTTTCTAATCATAATACAACTAAGGAACATTTTCCAATAACAATCTTCATGACTATTAATTACATCTATATAGATTTCTTTAAATAAAGACAAATTCACTTAGGAAAACACATAGATATAACGTCATCATCCAAATTGTAAAATCCTAATTCTATAACAAAACCTCTCTGAAAACAAAATTTGTTGTATATTATTGATTTTGGTCGATTCCTTGGTCTTTATTTGGGTCTAGTTACTATTTTAACATCATCTGGCCTCTTTGCCCATCCAAAAGTAACATAAAGTTGACCATGGGTAAACACTGGGGTTTTCAAATAAACGCCAACTTTGTGAAGGTTCGGCCTTGCGCCACAATTTAACCAAATCAAATTGCACAATGAATGCACCCATCGTTCATTGGTCCTAGCTGTGTAATGCAATCTCATTTAATAGTGGCAATGCATACACAGGAATAACGTCATGTTCATCCGATATTCATTTATTTTCCTCCCAAATATCGTGCCAAATCTGGCGCCTGTTGTTCTCATTTCAAGGAACAACACCTCTGCGTGGTAGTCTTCCGACATTATACATTATTACTGTGCAAAAGAACAATCCATTGTAAAGTATTAAGTTTAAAAGTATCAAATTTAAGTTTGCACAAAAGATTTAATCTAATTTTCACTTATTGTTGTTTACTACTTCACTAACAATTTTACAATAACAAAATAATGCAAATTCAGGTGTGTTTTTGTTTTTATATTTTTGTCATCACAGCTGTGTTTAAGCTAAATAAAAAGGCATCAAATTAGATTCCCATGTTATTTAAATGTGAAATATTTTATTCCGTAACTACCTTTTGGTGCATAATTAATGAAAATGAATAGTTTTCCCTCAAAATTCACGTCAAGACCTTTAAAATAAGACCCATCCCATCCTTCTACGGCCATCCAGTCACTCACAATTTCTTTACAAAAATTTGACTTACGGAATTATATATATTGACATCCTCTTTTATACTTTAGATAAGATAAAAATGGGTTGATTGATTATGTATCCTTAATAAATTTATAAAAATATGTTTAACAAAGTATAATCTTTTTCAGAACTTACAATAGAATATCCAGACGAGACGTAAGAAAGAAGAGCCTCAGTGTACTGCAAGAAAACAAATTAAGATAATCTCGGACAATGCTTTCAAAACAACTGATAAAAAGGAGAAATGTTGCTATTAGGCCTACACTGTGAACAACTGATGAAAGTATGTGATTCACTCTTTAAATTTAGACTTTAAAGCAAATATCAATTAATTATTTCTTAAGGCGTGATCACAATAAAAATCTGATAATTCTGTTTATGAATTATACATAGTATGATGGAACGTAAAATACAAGAGAAACCATATTATAAAACCCCAAGTATGTTGCAAAATATGTAATAGGCCACATAAAAATACAAGATCCAAGCAAGACTTTATTTTAAGTTTTATGAGGTTGAAATCCACTTGATTGTAAAATTTAACCATTCCTACAAACAAAGGATACATTTAAATAGACAACAAAGACCAACTGATTAGTTGCTTACTTGTCTGACAAGTTTTACAAAGACAGCAATTCAAAATGTTAAAGCATACTAAAGAGCTTCCTTTTAAGTGTCCAATATGTGGAAAACATTGTTCAACTAAAGCAGTAATGAAGAATCACATATTGTTACACACGGGTGAGCGTCCCTTCAAATGTTTATTATGTGAGAAAACCTTTGTCACACAAGGTAATGTAAAGATTCATTTGTTGGAACACTCTAGGAAGTATTCTGTTTACAAGTGCACCACCTGTGGAAAATCCTTTGTAAAAAAAGGAAATTTGAAACGACATGCATTGGTTCATACAGGAGAGAGGCCATATAAGTGTACCACTTGTGGAAAATCCTTTGCACACAAAGGGGATTTGAAACTTCATTTATTGATACATACAGGAGAGAGGCCATATAAGTGCACAACTTGTGGAAAATCCTTTGCACAAAAAGGGAATTTGAAACTTCATGCATTGATACATACAGGAGAAAGGCCATATAAGTGCACCACGTGTGGAAAATCCTTTTTACGGAAAATAGATTTGAAAGAACATGCACTTCTTCATACTGGAGAGAGACCATATAAGTGCAACACATGTGGAAAATCCTTTGCACACAAAGGAGTTTTGAAACTACATGCTTTGATTCATACAGGAGAAAAGCCATATAATTGCACCACATGTGGAAAATCCTTTGCACACAAAGGGGATTTGAAAAAACATGCTTTGATTCATACAGGTGAGAAGCCATATAAGTGCACAACTTGTGGAAAATCCTTTGTACAAAAAGGGGATTTGAAACAACATGCTTTGATACATACAGGAGAGAGGCCATATAAGTGCACCACGTGTGGAAAATCCTTTTTACGGAAAAGATATTTGAAAGAACATGCACTTCTTCATACTGGAGAGAGACCATATAAGTGCAACACATGTGGAAAATCCTTTGCACGCAAAGGAGTTTTTAAACAACATGCATCGATTCATACAGGAGAAAAGCCATATACTTGCACCACGTGTGGAAAATCCTTTGCACACAAAGGACGTTTGAAACTACATGCTTTGGTTCATACAGAAGAGATGCCATATAAGTGCACCACGTGTGGAAAATCATTTTTACAGAAAAGAGATTTGAAAGAACATGCATTTCTTCATACTGGAGAGCGACCATATAAGTGCACAACGTGTGGAAAATCCTTTGTACGCAAAGGACATTTGAACCGACATGTATCGATTCATACAGGAGAGAGATCACATAACTGCAGCAGACCTACAACATGTGGAAAATATTGTCAATTAAAAATCAATTTGAAGGCACATTCAGGGGTTGATACAGAATGGACACTGTGGAAGTACACAACATGGGATACACTAATGGGATTTTAAAAATTGAGAGTTAGGTTTTGTTATGTAACAATTCAATTTTTCCCCTGATATTTTTATTGAATAATTTAACTGTCACCATATGTTTTTCCTTTTATTTATATGTCCGTTCATCTCCTTTTTTCAAATCTTGTATAACATATGACCAAACAAACCAATAGTTAATTTATTCAATACAATATAGAAAATTTTCAAATAACCTAATTTCATGTAAATATATAATAGCATAGACAAAAAGAATTAAATATAGACCGTCAGCTGTGCTGCGGTTACCATAAGTTCTGGCGCACACCGCTGGGATCGCCACGGTAGTTACAGCGTACGCGCTACGTAAACTACAGCGGTGTGCGCCGGAACTCATGGTAACCACAGCACGGCTGACAGTCAATATTTCATTCTTTTTGTCTATGATAATAGCCTAAAACTTTTGTAACAAAATTGCTTTAAATTCAATATAATTTTACTTAAATAATTTTTCAAAATTCAAATTTAGCTCTCTAGCATATTAACCCAGTAACCTTGTTATAAAAATCAGAGTCTACCTTGCATGAAATGGGGTAGTAGGTTTCTTTTTTTTATGTTGTTTGTAATAGCACCGAGATGCTAAATCCAAATTTTCGACCTCAGCGACCTTCCGGATCACCTCAAAAAAGCTTAAAAATGACAGAATTACGCACTATTTTTACGTTTGTCCGATTTTGACCCTGAAGCAACACTTTTTCATAGAAAACAACCGTAACCATTTTTAAAGTACATTAAATTACCTATCATAAGAGACCAAATTGGTTATTACAGGCCTAATAGTTTTCAAGATATGATTCCGCAAACAACGACTAAAGTTACCAAATTTTGAATTTTTTTAAAGTTTGGCTAACGTTAACCCTTAAGCATAACTTTACCGTTATTTTTCATTAAAACAACCATAATTACTTTGAAACTGCATTAAATTACTCACAATTTAAGACCAAAATGGTGATTATAGGCCTTACACATTGAGAGATATGCCTCTTCAAGGTTTATAAAATCTCCCATAATGTTTAAGATTCAACTTTCAAGCTATTCAATTTTGTCAAGTTTTATAAAAGAACCATAATAAGAAATAAACAAATTTATTTCATTTCAAGTACAGATTGTGTTATAAAAATTTATTTTTAAATGGAAATAAATCTATTGTATCTATCTACATAAACACACACGTACATTGTTACAATAAATGGTTCTCGGGGATATAACACAGGCCTGTGACGAACGATATTCATTTTTACGTTATTTTGATTTTAAATTAAACTGTTTACAACATAGAAATACCTAATAATGGCTTAAATACTATGATTTTCAATACAGATATGGCTTTTGTAATAGCATAAAGAGTGTATAAAAGGATTAAAATCGTATTTTTTCCAAATAAACCCCATTTAAGGGGTCAAAAACATTACGTAAATCAATTAATTTGGCCTAACACATTTTGTGTCTTAAACTTTGAAATGCTTAAAATTGGCTTAAATATTATAATCTAGAATACAATTATGGCTTTTTTTAATTGCATAAAAAGTGTATAAAATGAATACAACTATAAGATATACAAATAAAGCTAATTTAATAGGTGAAAAACATTACGTAAACATTGATTTTGCGTAAGAGATTTTCTGATTTCAACTTTAAAATGGCAAAAAAGCTTAAATTTAATAATTTTGAATAGGATTATGGTATTATAAATTACACAAAGAGTATATAAATGGAATACAATTCTAATTTAGACAAAAAATCATATTTAATGAGTGAAAACATTACGTAAACGAAATACTCAAATTATTTTTGCTAACATTTTACTTAATTTGTTTATTTCCTTGCAGTTTATATATTTTTAACGCTTGAAAATGCTTTATTACACTGAAGGACTATATACTCAATTGTATAGAACCAATTTAGACTATAAAAAGTCAATAGTTTGCTTCATAATTCAAAAACAAAGTCAGATTTACAAGAATTTAAGCGAGTTTTGTTGTGCAAACCATACATTATTTGTTAATATTTTTCAAATTAATCACTATTGACTTTTTAAAACCTCATATATCAAAAGAGTACTAGTTGGAGCAAGGTAAGAAACCAAAAAATACCAATAAAAACCTATAGTTTATGCAAGAATTAGGTTTTAACACAGGAAAGAGCTAAAGACCACCCACAGTGACAAGGGGACTACGGACACCTGTGGTCACTATTACCTACAAACAACCATGATATGACTCATGATGACATTTAGTTTTTTTGGTCAGATATTGTAAATATTTGAATTATATACATCCTGCAGTTAATCCCATACTGATTGGTTGAAGCGTTCAAAAGCTATAGGACTTTGAAATTTCAAATTGAGACAACTTTTTTCACCCAAAAAATCATATTATTAGTCTTATTTTCAATTAAATTCTTGAAATTTGTTACAATTTGTCCTCTTGATTTAATGCTTAAAGGTATAGCATACCTAAAGATTGTTTTATCTTATTCCTTATCAAGAAATTGTGAACATTCATAAGCATACAGACAGGCAGATCCAGTGTAAGAGTTCCTTATCTATTATCAGGCTCATGTAAGGATACCTATACTTATGTCCTTCTAGTGTCAGTGCTGTAGTTTGAACAAGTTGGTCCTTCCCCCCACTACTGCTCAATTCATACAGCACAGACAGGACAGGAGGTCCTGAGGAGTGCCAGTAAATCCTGGCATAAAAGAATTGCATGGCAGAACGACAGCAAAGTTGAAACCTTTTTTCACTGTTGCATCTTCATTCTTTATAAAAAATTCCTCTTGATAGTACTGTATAAACATTTTAATTACAATAGATTTCTTCCATAAAAAACTTATAATATGTTGTTGAAATTAAATAAATTTGTTTATATTCTTATTATGGTTCTTTTATAAAATTTGATCAACCCTAGATCTGGTGGTCATTTTTATTCACCAGTGGCGGGTATATTTTGGCGCTTTTGTAGTGGTATCATATATTTTGCCACAGAACATTTATTTGTGAATATAAGTACACACATATATATATTTTCTATTTCAGTGATGAATTTAGAATATACTAATATAAAAATAATCTTTTCCTAGCAATGCGTTTAGGCGTAGTAGCAAAAGGTTTGCAAATTTTTGGATTATGCAAATTAGAAATTTCAAAAGCAACCTTCAAGAAAACCACAAAATAATTTTCTTACATATTTGATCTAAATGTAAAGTTTGTGTGAAATATAATTCCCTACGTAGAAATATCAATTTTTTTTTAAATACTCATAAAAATAAATTCTTTATACATATTTTCTTTTTAGAAAAACTACCAAATTTCTTTTTGTCACGTAGGAAATAATAGAATGCATCAACAAAAAATGAAATGATACTGTATAATAGGTAATAAAAAGATTTTTCTGAAAATATATAGTTATATTTAGTTGAATTCTAAAATGTCGGAGAAATTTACGTCTGAATGTAAAATTTTGAAGATTTTTTTACAAAAACATAATATTTATGACATTTTTAAAAACAAATAACATTTTTACAATCAACCTTATGGATTCACAGGGAATTGTAGGGAATTTATTGTAGTTTCGGAATATGTACTAATATTGTATACAATTTAATTGACAATCACCAAAAACAGCTGTTTTTGTAGTCAGGTGACCAAAACTTTCCACCGCCAAAATCTATTTTGAACTCTCTAGTTTTTCAAACTACCGTTTTTCGCTACATAATACTCACTCAATAATGTTTTATGCATGAAAATGAATCCTCAGAATCTCATCTTTCTAATGGTATAAGATTTATTGCGTTTAAAAACTGTTTTCATATTTTAATAATAGAAAAACCCGACCCATGTCATCTTGGTCTATAATCGACCAGCGCCAGATAGAGAGGGTCAAATTGAACAACTTGAATCGTAAAATACAAACATTTATGGAAGATTTTATGAACCTTGAAGAGGCATATCTCTCAATGTGTAAGGCCTATAATCACCATTTTGGTCTTAAATTGTGAGTAATTTAATGCAGTTTCAAAGCAATTATGGTTGTTTTAATGAAAAATAACGATACAGTTATGCATAAGGGTTAACGTTAGCCAAACTTTAAAAAAATTCAAAATTTGGTATTTTAGCCGTTGTTTGCGGAGTCATATCTTGAAAACTATTAGGCCTGTAATAACCATTTTGGTCTTATATGATAGGTAATTTAATGTACTTTAAAAATGGTTGTGGTTGTTCTTTATGAAAAAGTGATGCTTTAGGGTCAAAATCGGACAAACGTAAAAATAGTGCGTAATTCTGCCGATTTTTAAGCTTTTTGGAGGTGATCTGGAAGGTCGCCGAGGTCGAAAATTTGGATTTAGCAACTTGTTTCAATTACAAACAACATAAAAAAAAGAAACCTACTACCCCATTTCATGCAAGGTAAAATGCGTTAGGTTACTGGATTATATTAAATTTGTTATAATATGTGTGAACAGTGGTCTACAATTTCCTGTGATAAAGTCGGCATTGACATGTGTAAGTGCAACAATGCAAACCTTCCTCACTTCCAAGAGTGATGAGCTAGAGTGAAGATATAAAATGTAAACTGCATATTTTAATATCAAAATTTTATAAAAAAAAGTACCTATATTTGAACAAAAATTAGTGAAATTTGATTAAAGAAGGTCCGTCCTTGTTACAAACATTAATAATTACAACATCAAGAACTTAAACTGTGCAGAAGACATCAATTTTGGTAGACATTTTCTTTCCTTGGAAGCCATTAGAACATTTTTTTCAGGCCTAACTTTTGGAACATTTGTACTAACATTCTAAGTCAAGAAATTGAGGCTTATTCAGAACTTTAATTAATTCAACGAATCAGAAAATAATTTGAACATAGTTAATATTTCAAAACAAAATTTAATAAGGCTATAATAATGACAAGATTAAATTAAAATGCCGCTCGATCGCCCCACCTGAGATCAAGATCCATGCAATATAACCCCTGAACATAAATTAGAACTATTGTAATAGGCTTAGCTTAGCTTTAATAAGTAAATTCATTCCCCACTCTTTGTAAACTTTATTGTTAACCCTTTCTTTTCTTTTACCATAAATTTTGTATTGTAATTAAATAAATTTAAGTGTTGATACTGTACTTGGAGTTTCCATTGTATTCTTAACTTTAAGGTAGATTACAGTTAAATTAGCTTAGCTTAGCTTTAGATTATCTAATCTTAATTTAATATAGAATGGATATTCTACATAAAAAAAACACCATCCGTTAAAATTCATATATTATTAAATAAATTAAAATACCCAAGTACCCTAAAAACATTTTATTTTGTATCACTTGCACGTGTTTCGGCCATTTATGCCATGTTCACAGTGGAAGTACTTAACCTTATAATTTACTAGCTGTACCCGCGGGCTTTGCCCCGTTTAACTTCATAAGTATTCGCATGGCTCATTCACGTCCTGGTTGAAGTTCGTTCGCTACGCTCACTCACCTTTAGGTTGGAACTCGTTCGCTGCGCTCACTTGCCTTCAGGTTAGCTCGTTCGCTACGCTAACTCGCCTCCAGGTTGAAGTTCGTTCGCTACGCTCACTCACCTTTTGGTTGGAAATTAGCTATTGTCATAAAAAAAATAATAATAGTGCTGCACCCTGTTGGTAATCCTTGTAACTTTTATGCTATTGAACATCATAGAACAGAACCAACTTGTTTAGTTGAAACAGCTGTTAAGATTCATTAATTCCTTTTAAATATGAAAAATCATAAGGTTAACATGGGGAACTACAGAGCCACTGGGGCGGAGCCCGAAAGGATTTTTGGGATAAGAATATGCTTTAATGTTAATCGGG